ATCGTTTACTGCAACGCGAGCTGATGATTTGATTTTGCCATCGCTGCATACGGCAAACCGCGAACTGCGTCGGGCGAAAAGTCATGTCCGGAAGTGGGAGCGAGTCTGCGCGGCGCTGCGGGAACTGTACAGGCACAAGGATATTGTCAGACAGATTATCGCCACCGGAGAACGGTAGCGGTGAGTGGCTGGAAGAAGTGGTGCAGGGCTGAAATCATGGTGCTCCGGCAGTGTGCGGGAACGATGACAGTCGACAGCATCGGCAGTCTGATTGGTCGTAGTGAGCCGGCGGTCAGGGCGAAAGCACGGGAACTGGGTATCGGCATGATGTTGCGTGGTGATTATCACCAGTCAACAAAATATCCGCAGAGCGATATTGAGCTGGTACGACAGTTGCATCAGCGTGGCGTGTCCAGGAGAGAAATTGCCAGAAAATTCGGAATGCCGTTGCGCACAGTGAATAACTACGTTTATTTCAACAGGAGGGTTCTGGAGTGAGGGTTTATATCGCCGGTCCAATGACCGGGCTATGAAAATTTCAACCGTGAGGCGTTCCACAAGGCGGAAGAGGAACTGAAACGGGATGGGCACACAGTCTTAAATCCGGCAGTACTTCCGGACGGACTGACGCAGCCGCACTACATGGATATTTGCATGGCAATGATTCGCTGCGTGGATGCGATCTACATGCTGAATGGCTGGCAGCGGTCGGCAGGTGCCAGGGCAGAACTGGCACTGGCGGAGAAGCTGGGGCATGCGGTTATTTTACAGAAGGCGATGCAGTGAATATGTTCTGGATAATCAAAATTGAGCTGTTTGTTATTGTTTTCCTGATCAGTGCATTTCTGGCAGCGGCTTTTATTATCTGGGAAAATCCTTTTCGACATATCAGTCCACTGTTTGCAATCAGGGTGTTAATAGCATCGGTTGTAGAGGTGTGGTTAATTTGTTTTGCATTATTTTAATGGAGTTAATGTTATGAACGAAATCAAAGAAATGCCGGTAGAACGTGATGCATATGGCTGCTGGACACATCCTGAATATGAAAAATTTTGTGATGGCCGGGAATATATTTCGACGGAAGAATTTAATGCATGGATGAAGGTGAATAATCTTCAGTGGACCATTCGCGCAATGGATGAAGATGATTTTAATCCGGATGCGGATGGTCCTGATATTTGCCGCATGGGAGCCGGAACGACCAGAGGGTGATGGATGGTTTATTGGCTCCATTCATGACACGGAAGACGGTCCTGTTTGTGTATGGCTGAGAAATAAGGCTGAAGCATAAAGGCGATAAACCACCTGACAACAAAACACTGAAAAATTTAAATCAGAAGTGAATTTTATTAAATCCTTAACCTGGAGGGATTTCTGCACCCTCAAAACATCAGGAGGCCGCCCGAAAGGGCGGTAATAAATAATGCAAGAAACCAAAGAAAATATCAGAAAACAGCTTTACGGGTTTTATATTGCTTATGATTTGTGGCTGAGTAATGGGGCGAAACCAGGTGGGGTGTTTTCTCGAAATTATGGTTTATGCGCCAATCTTTTCGATTATCTCACATCAATCGGTACCTCCAGCGAAGCGGCACTGGAACAATTACATGCTGATTTCAGAAGTGCCGGGCTGTATGAGGTGTTGCCATTTAACGAGAGTAAAGGGCATTACTATGAAGAAAAAGGGAACAACATGTGCCATATGAATCCGGCGCGGGTGGCGTGGGTCAGGACGCAGATTGCACTGGTATCACTGGAAGCAGAGCCGGTTGCAGTAAACGACGACATGGCTTACGCATTCCATCATGCACTGTCAGACTCATCTCCAGGTGCTGATGAGGTAGAGGAAATTAAGGCCGGGTTGCGTGCTGCCTTTGCCAATGTCACTGTCCAGCCGGTGCTGATAGTGCCGGATGAAATGGATTTGCTTACCTGCCATCTCGACGGTGTAACTGAAACATATGCTGATGGCTGGAACGCCTGCCGCGCACACCCGCTGGAACTGTAAATATCACATAGTTTTTGCGCCGAAATACCGAAGACTGGCGTTTTACGGAGAGAAGCGTAGGGCGATAGGCAGTATTTTGAGAAAGCTGTGTGAGTGGAAAAGCGTACGGATTCTGGAAGCAGAGTGCTGCGCAGATCATATCCATATGCTTGTGGAAATCCCACCCAAAATGAGCGTATCCGGCTTTATGGGATATCTGAAAGGGAAAAGCAGTCTGATGCTTTACGAGCAGTTTGGGGATTTGAAATTCAAATACAGAAACAGGGAGTTCTGGTGCCGAGGGTACTATGTCGATACGGTGGGTAAGAACACGGCGAAGATACGGGACTACATAAAGCACCAGCTTGAAGAGGATAAAATGGGGGAGCAGTTATCGATTCCATATCCG